CGGAGGCAAAGCAGGGCTGTTTTCTCCTCGGCAGGAGGCGGCTCGACTACGTGAACCATGCCAGGAGGCTGGCAGAGGATGACTGGGCAGGAGTCGAGAGCGAGGAGGAAGAGGAGGCGGAGGAAGGTGCGAATGAGGAGGAGATGGAGGTGGATGTTCCTCGGAAGCTGCCCAAGCGCTATGCCAATCAGGTGAGGAGCTGTCCCCATCCCTGTGACAGGGTGGGGATGGGGCTGCGGTGCTGAGCAAGGTGACGAACGTGGCGAGGTTAACGTTGTGGGGGGTCGCGGTGAATATATTCCTGTCTGGCGTGCTCTAGGTGATGGGTGTGTTGGGGCTGAGAGCAGTGTGTCCTAGCTGGGTGCTCAGTGCAGAACCACTACTCATCTCTCTTTCCTCTGAGACGTGCTGTCTTCAAATGGAGGACAGGCTGAGATGGATTGGCTGGGTTCCTTGCGAGATTTCAGCTCTGCTAGAGACACTTATGTCCCACTGTGCAATACTTGATTAAAGATTCTATCTCTCCTCCCATCAGGTACAGCTGGAGAGGAAGGGAAACCTCAACTGATGGGTGTTTTTAGCCTTGGCACTATATTGGTTCTAAAAGACCTACAGCCTCCCAGGTGATCATAGCCAGGAAATCTCAGGGGTCTGAAGAGGCTCACTTGTCTAGTCCCTTTACTCCTTTATTTAGCAATCTCTAAGGTCTGCTGCATATTTAAAATAATAATTAAAAAACAACAACAACAACAAAGGGCTGAAGCGAGGCTGGAAAAGGGATTAAGGTACTGGGATGCAAAAGTGAGTACTGTGGGTCTTGTGCTGTACTCTGAATTTCAGCTGGCAGCTGGGAAGTAAGAGAAAGGCTTGGGGGAAGAGTTTGTTGTGCAGGTTGGTTAGAAGGAGCCATGCTCCTATGGTGCTGTATTGCAGGGTGATGAGCAATACACATTGCCTCTGTGGCACCCAGTATAAACCAAGTCAAAACCTTCTTGCTTTGTTCTTGAGCTGTGAGTTTTCCATAACTTCAGGAGAGCTGTTACTAACTGCCTTTTTGGGGGGGTTTCTCCTCAGCTGATGCTGTCTGAGTGGCTGGTAGATGTCCCTTTGGATCTGGAGCAAGAGTGGGTTGTAGTGGTGTGCCCCACAGGGAGAAGGGCACTGGTTGTGGCATCCAAGGTAAGAGAGAGCAGTGGTGAAGTCTCACCACCTGGTAAAGGACCTGTATGTGTCTGTTACGTCATCATGCCAACATGACATGAAACCAAAGGCTGGCCTGTGTGTCTTGCCTGCCTTGTGCTGTGGGAGCCGTGTGGGGCTGAAACTCTCCTTGAACTGAAAGAATTTGGGCGCTGAGAGATGTGGTAGTAACAGAGCCGTATCTAATGGTGAGTACTGCTCTCCTCTGACAGGCTGCTTGGAGGTGGTTGTAACGGAGACCTGGGTTTCAAAGCCTTGGGTGCAGTCAGACGTGTGGCATGAGAGCAGGGAGACTGGCCTTGACTTTTCTCTCTCCCACTTCCTTGCAGGGCTCAACAGCAGCTTACACCAAGAGTGGCTTCTGTGTCAACAGGTTCCCGTCCCTGCTGCCGGGTGGGAACCGGCACAATTCGCTAAATGAGAAAGGTAATGATCTGAAGAGGCCATTGAAATAGATGAAGGAGAACAAGCCTGCTTCTCCGTGTGTGTGTGTGTGTCTGCCTGCATGACAGGCTCAGTGCTGCTCCTCCAGCTCCCGCAGGCCCAGCAGAGCTGTACCCTTTTCTGGTGCCAGGGATTATTAGCTTCAGCCCTGTTCGTGAATCTGTGGGGATAACTAGACATGGACGATCTCGGACACCTTTATGCTACACAAGAACAACTTTTTATCAGCTGCCTGCTCACCTGATGCTCTTAAACCTCAGCATCTTCCTCCCTTTTAAGTACCAGAGCTGTGTACAGTATCTTTCCAGTGACCCCTTGGTGCTGATGTTTCTCAAGTTAAAGGGTGTAGCTTTTCTTGCTAAGAAGGAGGATGGCCTTTCTCAATATCCCATACAGTTGCATTGCTTGCCCTGAGGAGGGTTTATCAATGGATAGGTGCCTTATTCTGAAATGTGCTTTTGATTGAAGTTCTTGAGCTTGCGGGGCTCTTAAAGCTAAGCTTTTTGTGGTCATGCCTTCTGTTCAGCAGAAGGGAGTCTCTGCCTGTCTCAGGCTTCCATCAGTGCTAGGGTTTAATGCAGGAGAGATTTGATCTAATTAAATTGCCTTTTGGGTTTGGTAGTATCTGGAGCGTGTCTGGATCTCCCTGTGTCTGTGTGCAGTTTACAGCATCTTGGACTGCATCTACAATGAGGCGCAGCAGACGTACTATATCCTGGATGTGATGTGCTGGAGAGGACACCCTGTTTACGACTGCCAGGTACTGAATCCCTCCCGTGTGCCCTGGTCTCTTTTTTGTCACCTGTTCTGTGAGCCGCTCTGCAGCCGGAGCTGGATGCAGCCCATTGTGCAGAAGGATGAATCTTTCATCTAAATGCCAGCATCTTTACAGCTTGTGGGCCAGCGGTTACTGGAATAACTGGGCAAACCTTTTGGGGATGCCAGGGAAGCTCACAGAGTTTGGGGTGCTGGTTGGTTCTACAGGGCTGAGCTGAATTTTTAAATCTCCTGGGCAGGTGTAGAGGAATGGAGAAACAAAGTTCCCCATGCCAGGCACTCAAAAAGTCCGTGAGAGCTACAGTAGCCCGGATGCAGATCGGTGACGTGTGGTGGATACTCTGGATACTCACTAAGTCTCTGTCTCCTTCCCCAGACTGACTTCAGATTCTTCTGGCTCCTCTCAAAGATCCAAGAGGAGGAAGGGCTAGGAGAGAAAAGCAGGATTAATCCAGTAAGTTCTTTCCTTCCGAGGGCAAAAGGAGAGTAGCGGAGTAAACTCTCCTGTTCAGCTGACTTCAGCATATTTGTTCACAAGGGGAAGCTTTTTTCTGTCTTATCAGACAGATCAGGCCTAGGAGTGTGCTTTTGATGAAATGGGATACCGTGTTCAGGATGTAAACAGAACCACTGAATATTGTAAATGAGATGTGGTGGAGTTGTTGGTTTTGTTTTTCCCAGCCAAAGTGCTGAGGGAGATCAGACTGCAGGGTATCAGCTAACTTCCGTGCCATTTTTAGCTTTCCCTTGGAATGGAAAACCAGTGTGGCTTCTACAGGGACAGCCTTGGTGGGCAGCCTGACCTACAATGGGAATTATCCTTTGGTAGTCTCATGGGCTCCCAAAGCAGGGTTAGAGGATCAGAAAGCTTTAGCCTTTCTTCCTGCTTAAACTAGTCATTGAATTTACAGGGATGGATGCCAGATTGCCACCTGGAGTGCCTACTGAGCCACGATAAGTCTTCCTATGAGTCCTTGTGAGTGGGAGTTAGATCTGGCACCCACAGCAATGTGGAAAGTGATTTTGGGTCAGATGTCACAGGAATTTGGCAGGCTGGCTTATGGAGCGCAGTTCACAAGGCGAGACCTGATCTCTCTGTGGCCGTGCATGTGTGCCCAGACACAGCTAAGCAGAGCAACTCCTGCAGGTTAAGCAGGCCGGTCATTAAGGGAACGAACGCTCCAGCGCCAGCAGTGAAGACTATCGGTAGTTGGAGAACATCCTGTTTTGACTCCAACAAGAATGTCCAGAAGATGAGTACCTAATGAAGGGGGAGTTGCTTCAGCTTTCATTTCCTGGGTGGAAAGGTTAGCTTGGCTGAGGCAGCAACCGAGAGCAGACATCTGTCTGCTTTGCATCCTGCCCAGAGGTCATCACTTTCTATTTTGGTTAAAGGTGCATCTCAGGGTCAGCTCCCTTGAAAAGTCCTTCCTGCAGCCTCAGATGCTTGGGAAACGGGTATCAGAAGTATGTGGGAGCTGTGAGCTGAGTCCTTGCCATCTGCATCTTTTATAAAATGCCAGAAAGTGCCAGAAACTGGCACTGGGGGTCCTTTGAAACTGGGATGCCTTGAACACGAAATACTTGTAATGGATCATTCTAGGCGCATTAGATCTCATGCTGTCCGAGTACTGGCAATCTCTGGGCCTTTCTTTAAAGGTCATCTTCTGTTACTGAAATGAGATTTCTAAAATTGCTCTGTGGAGCAATGTACATGCTTTATCCAGCATTACTGGAGAGATGACTCCAAAGGCTGTCTGATATTTAGGCTGATTTTTTTTGGGGGGGGAGGGGGGAGGGTTCATGAAGTACTTATTGTTACTTTAGTGGGATATAATTGGCATGGTTGAACAGCTAGGTCCTGTCATTTTGTTTCCAGAGCCAGGATTTGCTTAGGAGTTGCTCTGTTGAATCACATTAGAGGTCTGTCTGTCCCAATAACTGGTCTCTGCGATTACAAGGGGATGCTATGGAAAGAGTAAGGATTTTGGGATACCTGTTCCTTCTGGCTTCATGAGCCAGTGGTTGTATCTAGGCCATGGTGTTAATAGCCACTAAGGAACCTGCCTTTCAAGAGAGAGTCTGATTTTTTTCCTTTAAGCCTATTTGTGCTTTTGGACCCCAGATATGCTGTGGCAGGAAGGTCAGCAGTTCTGCCACGTGCTTGCTCCCTACTTGAAATTGCTAGCTAATCACTTTGTCTGGTGCCCACGCCCCATCCTGTCTCCCCCATGCTAGATCTCATACTGGGAGAAACACTTCCTTCTTAGCCACCTCCACACCAGGGCTCGATTCAGTGAACTGTTGTGTTTTCAGTCATGGAATCGTCTCTTCTAACTCTCTCTTTCAGTTCAAATTTGTGGGCCTGCAGAATTTCCCCTGCACCTCGGAGAGCTTGTGTAATGTGCTGGCTATGGACTACCCATTCGAGGTGAGAACCTGCAGCCGGGGGCCTGGAACTCGGGCTTAGAGACAGCCCGGCTGTGTTTTTATGCCAATGCTTGGAGGGAGGTGCATCTCGTTCATTTGCGAATTGTGCTCTCCCAAGGCCTGCAGGAAGCTCGCTGAATTGTGATGTTGCTTCTGTGTATGAAGGATGGATGCCTGTTGTGCAGGTGGCTGATCTGTTAACCTGTCACCAGGTACAGGCCATGTCCAGCAAAACTGATTAAGCGAGCACAGAGCAAAATGATAGTCTTCACTGTATTTGAACTGTCCTACTTGCTGTTTACTGTTGCTCCCCTGAAAGAGGAGAGCTTGGGGAGGACAGCGTTGATGCAGAGATGCCTAAGCTGTCCCCAGAAGCAGCATAGCTTGCGTTCATGTGGCAGCATGATGGACAGCTGTCCCTTTTTAGGGCTGAAGCTGGCACCGTGTGCTGCCCCAGGTGGGCTTGCATGGATACACCATGAGGATCTCTCCAGTGTGCTGCATCACGTGGTGTTTCTTGAGAGGTCTGCAAGGTAGACTAACCGGTGCCTTTTTCTGGCTTCTGCCATAGGCTCTGTGTGTCCTTGGTTTAGTTACTTCATCTGTCTATGTGCAAGGCATGTAGTTGTCTCCTGTCTTGCAGGAAGGAAAGAGAACGATGGTGAATTCATGTCACTTTCTGAGGGGTTCAGGTTTTAGTGGTGGACACCTGGAACACACTGGATCTGGGGGCAGGTGGCCTTTGCAGAAATGGCTGGGGTGGATTCAAACAGGTCTGTCTGCCTGCTGCCGCTGGATGTGGCACAGCCACTATCCACAGTTGGATAGTGCCAACTCCTTTTTGCTTCAGTGCAGAACCGGCAGCTTCCTGCCTTTGACTCATGCTGTTTCTGGCTCTTTGTATCAGAGAAGATCATTCCTCCAGCAAGAGTGACTGAATGGGACACATCTATTTGCTTCATCAGCTTTAGGAGCAAGTACTCTTCAGCAATCCCTGCTGACCTGCAGAAGATGAGCTGGACGGGCAACTAGATGTGTCACCCAGTTCAGCCATGTGTGGCTGTAAGCAGCGAGTCAGAGGCTTTAATTTGGAGAGCTCAGGCTGCTTTTGGTGGCTGCCCGAGCTGACTTGGCACCAAAGTGGAAGAGGATGGAAGAAGCAGTGACATTCCAGCAGAATGGCAGTAACAAACATCTGGGAGCCAGAAGCTTTTCCAGTTGCTGCAGCACTTCCTGCGGAGTGCCCAGTTTCGGCCCTAAATCAGGAACAGCCTTTACAGAGGTTGCTTGTCCTGCTAAGCCAAAAGCCGCATGGATTTTACAGGTGTCTCTTGTGCTTTCTCGGCCCAGGTTAGTGATGCAACGTAAGCGCAGGTTTAAACCTAAGTGACGCTGTTTTGGCCGTGAGGGCTGCCTTGCCTTCTGTTTGTCAAAGCAGAGAGAGTCATCAAGAAAAGTTAGAAAGTCTCAGGCCCTTGCTGACGTTGCCAGATCATTATCTGACCACAGAACGGAGCGTGCAAAGTTTGTTTAGAAGGCATCCCAAGATTTTCATCTGACTTGCTCAGTGACAAATGCTCTGACTGTATCTGTAGAAACAGTCATTCCCGTCTTTCCTGAAGAAATCTTCCTTCCTTCCTGAGGCATCTGCTCCCATGAGAAGAAGCTGAGGAGTATTACCTCACTGTGGTCAGAGCAGAAATGTTTCAGCTTGCTAAGGGAGACAGTTGCGAAACGCCCGGGGAGGAAGATGGAGTCGAGCAAACCCTGCCATGTAATGCAGCTGCGATTTGCCCCCAGGTTGTTCTCTGGTCAGTAGGTGTGATCCCGTCAAGTGAAATGTGGTGTTTCTGTGGGGTTGCTGGCTCAAAGACAGCCAACAACTTCACAGCGACTTGGTGCTGTGTTTCCAGGAACTAAAATGAACCGGGGTCTCGTTATAATGTGCCACAAGAGGGAGCCCAAGAAATCCTCATAAAGAGGTTCCAGCACTGGGACAAAAAGAACGAAGCTTTGCAGGAGGCAAAATGTAGCCTTGCTATAGATAATACAGCATAATAGAGATCTTTTTGCCTGGGCCCAGCAACTTGTGATGAATCATGCGAAATAAATTTGTGAAACAAGGGGAGGTTTTTCTCCGCTTGTTAGGCGTGGAGTGACCCATTGCTATTTAGCCTATTCAAAAGGTCTTGTGTGTGTGATGGCAACGGATCTGGTCAGTGTTTTCAAATTAAGGTCTCCAGAGTTAATCTGTAACCTTAGAGTTAGGACCTGATCCCTAGTCTGCTCTTTTGAATGGCAGGTCTTTCCACTGAATTAAGTGGACTTTGGATCAGTCGACTGGCACTGAGTTTTAGGTATTTTTGGAGTGGATCTTAAGAGCTACTGACCTCCTCACAGGTCTGAGTAAAACAACGGGCAGGAGTTCATGAAGGCTCGGGGAGTCAAAGTTTCTGAGAAGCTCCAATATCAAGGAACGGGCATATCTTTAAGCACGTAAAATCTGAAGAGCATAGCCATGACAAATGAAACTCCTGCCAAGACAGTTTCTCATCGGGTTCGGTCGCACAGAGGCAGCATCAGCTTTTATTGTGATGTGGCTAGTGTCGGTACAGTGACTCAGGGTAGGGACACAGCAAGCAAATTAAATAAACTGGAAGGAATATGGGAGCTGCAGTAACTTATGGGAAGGAAGGACATGACCTGACTCTTCAGCATACTGAACTCCTTTGCCTTTTCCAGCTTGCAGAAGATCTTTGCAGAGTCTAGAAGGCAGAAACCTTTCCAGGTTCTGATCAGGTTACTCAAAGACTCCTTGTGGGCTCTTGCTCACAAAGTGCTGTGTATCAGCTGGAATGTGTTGGATGTGCACGTCCTGGAGAGGGTGATGGTTTGGGAATGGGGCAAAGCAGAACGTGGCTTTTTTCAAGCCCTCCCAGGGAGGCGGGGGGAAGCTTTGTACTTTAGATATCCAGAGGCTTACATGTTACACAAGCTCATGATGTTTACTGTTCTGGTTTCATGTTTTCCTAGGACAGGAATCCCCCTTTTCTGGGATTCTTTTGCAAGATCTTAACAGTCACCAAAAGTTATGGACTGTGGTAGCGTAAGAAGCCCTACCCGCTCTGCTCGACTTTAGCATCCCCATAGCAGAAATGGACATGTGCCACCTTGTTGCTCAGCCTGCTTCACAGTCCAGCGCTGTAGCAGAAATTGCCCTGATCTGCAGTTCAAGCTGATTTCGTTCGTGCCTCAGCTCACGGCCCATATAGGCACTGTTCTCCTGTGTATGTTCTGGGGACTGCAGGCTCCAGAAGGGGCCTGGGGCAGACAGCTGGGCCTGGGAGCAACTGAGACCACTGCAGCCAGGTCTGCCAGAGCCCAAAGCGAGCTGCTCTTCTCATCTGTTCTGCCCGCTCAGCCACTCTTAGTCACAGGCAAATGGCCTTTAAGAGCCTGCGAGGCTGTGCTAGAAGGAGCACCACCTCGAACGTTAGTCAGTCTCGCAGCAGGATCTAACCTCGCAGAGTACACCCATGGGAAGCACAGGAAGAGAGAGTTGAAAAATCCTTTAGCATGGAAGGGAAACAAGGAAAACGTCAGCCAGCAGCAGTATTGCAGAGCGTGGAAATAATAGCAGAAGAGTTAGGGCCTAAACCTTCAATGTACTGAGTGCCCTTAACCGTCATTGATTGCTGGAGAAGTTCTCTCTTGGGAAACATTAAGAATTTATTTTGCATAAGCAAGCTGAAAGAGCTGTAGCAATGTTATGAATCAGGACTCCTTGGCGTCACACACTCTGGCTAATTACTTTCCAAATGTATTATTTAAAATAATCTTAATCCAGTAAAATGGCCTTTGTGTGCTGCCTTATTCAGAAACCTGATGGCGTTTCTGCAGAATGGGATCATAGCCACCAGTCAAAAAATGCTGGTCCGTACTGGCATCAGTCTAAAAATGTTTGCCATCGATGCTTTAAAGCGTAAAGCCATCCAGCAGTCATTAGACTCGTACAGAATTTGCACTGATCTTTCAGGACAGGAACTGTGCAGGTTTCCAATTTCACTTCCCCTATTTATTGCGCTGCTTGAGAAAAACGATCCAGCTGGTAGATTTGGCCCGCAAATGAAGAGCGGTTTACATGCAAAAGCCTCCAGCTCTGGCCCTTTATTCGCTCTCTCTCCTTTCCACAGGTTGACGGACTTCTCTTCTATCACAAGCAAACCCACTACACACCCGGCAGTACCCCGCTGGTGGGCTGGCTCCGGCCGTATATGGCTCCCGACATCCTCGGGCTCACTGTGCCCACTACTTTGCTCACTGCCAAACCAGACTATGCTGGGCATCAGCTCCAGCAGATCATTGAACACAAGAAGAATAAAAAGCTGGCGGCAGGAAAGAGTCACCTGGGTAACAAGGAGGCTGCTAAGAATGGATGTTACGAGTTGGAACACTTGTCTACCCCTCAGCCAGCAAACTCTCCTGAGGGCTGGGATGGAGCAGTGTGCCAGACGGAGAATTAGGTCACTGTAACAGAGTGGCTGGGGAAGGAGAGCGCGAGGGGTTACCTGGCTTCCCCAATTCTCACTGTCGCTTGTGCTCCCTGAGAAGGGGGGCAAGGGTAATTATTGGATGGCTTTGTTTAAAGGGCCTGAAAGTGGAATATTTTGCTCTGAGTTTGTGTAGTTTTTAGGGGGGGTTATTTTTTTTTTTTTATTTATTTTTTTTGCACCAGGGTGCTCACTTTGGTGAAGGGCTTCAACAGGATTGTCTGGTTCTCTGCTAAGGTGGTTGTCTGTTGCGGGGAGGAGCGGGGGAATAATTTGTCCAAACTGCAGGGTTCCTGGTTTAGCTCCTGCTGACCCTGTTTCTGTTAAAGTCTTTTGCAGAACTCCAGCCCGAGAACAGTGCTCAGACCTCGTAGATGCAGATCCTGCTTATAACCTGAGCACCAAATACAGACGCTGCTCCTCAGGCCAGGAAATTTGGGGCATTCCAGCCTTTGATCCAGCTGTTTACACTGAAGCCTTTTCAATGAAAGTTTTGTGGTCAGTCTGCTTCTAGTAACAGACTTTTTTTTTTTTTAATGACTGCTTTGCAACAGACTTCTGTCATCTGAGGGCTCTGCTTTCCACGCCCACGTGTTACTGAGAAACTAAATTTCCTTGCATCGGAACTGGCCCTCGCCTCCAAGTAGAGCGTTGTGCAGAACGAAGGCAGAACTCTCTTCGCTAGGCTTTTCTCAGTAGGGGGAGAAAGGAGCGATTTGGTTCTTAATGTTAGCGTTGATGGTGCCAAATAAAAGGTTTCTCAGAAATGTAAGTTCTTGAGCATCTTCCTGCTCCCTAAGGCTTGATCCCTGCTCCGTCTCACAAAGAGGGATTGAAAAATTGTTTCTAGTATTAACTGAAACAGGAAATGTTTGATTCTCATCAGTGCATCGAGGCGCTTCAGTCCTTACCTGCTGCTTGGTCTCTTATCGCAGTCCGGCTCTCTCTGCAAGCAGTCTCTCTGCTGCGTTTTCCCGTGTCAGTTTTATCAAGGATGAAACCCTTATAGTCAGCTTTCCGAAGATGTTTTCCGGAGGGAGATTAAAACGCCAGTCCCTTCTTGCAGAGCAGGACCACTCTAGAGGTGATGGGGGGGGAGATGAAACATCAGGCTATAAATGGCACTGCCGTCTCCTCCTGGCTGCCTGTGAAAATGCCTCCGTTTGGCTCCGAAAAGAGGCCCATATCCAGGAGGAGATACTGAGAGCAGGAAT